TAAATAGTGAAAAGTGGGTGTTACATTGTACAGTGGCATTAAGTGATTTAATGTGCATCTCTCCCTACCCCTTCAGAGATAAAAGGCGTGATGTTATGTATATTTTTCCATGTCATTATTATCTTGTATACCATTAACCTATATGAAAATTGATGGAATAGAAAAATTATCTTGTCATTTAATGAATATTAAGTTTCACATTTATTATAATATTAAAGCGACAGTTTATTTAATATTTAACTCTAAAAACATTTTAAATCAACCGAAATCAGTAACTATTGAGTAACTTTATTCGATGAAAAATTATGTATCACACACACAATACAAATTCTTTACAAAAATTCTACTATAATATATAATAATGGATACAAAACCATAACCACTATATCATGACACTCCAAAAAGGTATAAAACCTAATATATTGGCGTTCTGCTTTACGCATCAATAGTTCAATACGATAATTTTACTAAAAACACGTTAATTCAACTGTGACGGAGCTGATAGGGTGCCTAGCGACGCAAGTTAAGTCGATAAAGCTCAACACACAACGCGAAACAGAGACGAGGTGACTCGATGAATTAAAATCGTATTCCAACGGGTTTTTGTCAATTTAGGAAATATCAGTGACTAGTTGTCTGGTGATCTTCGAAGGACAGTGTTTATTGCGAGAGATAATAAGTAAATAACGGATACAATGAGAAACGAATACCTTAGCAACAACTCAATAGGCTAGAAAGATAAACACAACAACCAACCTAACATTTAAGAAGGCAAAGTTCAAAATCAAATGAAGTGAATAAACAGGGAAAAAATGTCCAACAAAACTTATAACGATTTGCTGGTCGAGACTTCAGAGTTGATAGGAGAAGCAACTCAAGCGGATGAAGCGCTTTTTGAAGCGGGAGCAGCTGATAGAAATACACTTCTACCAATTCTTCTAGAGCTTCGAGTAAGGTATACGATGTTGCTCAGTCGGCTGGATACAGTGTACGACCAGCTTTTGCAGCCACAAAAGCGGATGATTGTCAAAAGACTGCTGGAATCTTGTTTGGGAAGACTAATAGAGATAAAACATGATTTAGTGGAGATGCGCTTGACTGATCATACTTTTGATGATGATGAGGTACGTCTTCTGTCTTCATTATTATTGTTGTTATAAGTATCTTTTTAAACCGGCAGTGAGGTAGGTTAATAAAAACGAAATTCAAATTACCAAATTAACATTTACCCGATTTAAAAAAAGGAGGTATTCAGTTCGACATTATGTATCTTTATGTGTGTGACCCGGGAATCGAACCCGAGATCCCTTGTCCGGCAGTCGCACTTGCGACCACTCGGCGAATGAGGCATATACCTAACACATTTTATAAAAGAATTATTAGTTGTTGTTGTGTACCTATGTAGCTTATTAGTCTACTTTGTATTTCATCACGGGTTTTTGTTATTGGTCTTAGCACTGGAGTTCAATAGAATAATAATTATTGCTTGAATGACTAGAATTAGAATAATGAATTAGGTCAATTAGACGCTGTTTATATCTGAAGAGTGTGTAACACAATTTAATTGATTTTCACATTATATCTTATTTATAACCGACAATGCAATCTATAAGCTTACTTACTCAACAAATAAGCAAAACTTATAACGATAAGCAAAACTTATGATTAAAATACTTTCAGGCCCTAGTTAAGCTCCAAGTGACTCCAAACCAAGCTGAACCGTGTATACCACAATTCTTCATCCGTGAGAGAGCAGAAGAGATTGAGAGTAGACGACAGTTTGTACTTGACACATTGAGAAAGTTGGGTTATGAGCCTCCGAAGCCACAACCTCTAGTACTGACGGAACAGCAGGCTGTGATCATTATACAAAGTCACGAAAGAGCTAGACAGGGAAGACTGAGGTAGGTGATAAATAAGAGGTGGAGATGAGTAGTTTAAAAACTATAGTTAATTGATAAAATAATGATTAGCTGCTGTATTGATGTATTTATTAATGGTAAGTGATCGGTGACTTTGTGTTTACAGAGGTCAGTTTATGAAAGAAATTCGTCTGTTAAAAGAGAAAGGCAGAGATCAGAAAGGAGAAATGTCAGCATCTGCAGCCACTGCTATTCAGAAGGTCTGGCGAGGATTCTTAGCTAGAAGGCTAACTAGACGCAGGAAAATAGAAGAACAGCTCTTAATTGGCATGGAATTGCCTCCATATATGGAATCTGAAGCTCAGAGGAAAGCAGAAGAAGTATGTATTTATTTTTGACATGAACTAGTTTACATAAGATTATCTATAAGATAATTAATAAGTTCTAGCAGTTGGTATTCGAAATTATGTCTTTAGCAAATGGACTTCTTGTATTGTTTGTTGTTGTTTAATTTTTTACAGGTTAAGGATTACCGACGCAAATTACAATCGGACAGAGAGAAGGAGTATCAAGCAGCATTAGTCTCAATTGAAGAAGATCTTCGAAAACAACATGAGAAAAAGTTAAACGAACAGATTGGAGACGAACTGCGGAGGTGGATAAGAGAGTACTATGATAGAACCGGACGGTTTCCTGAAATGCCTTCTGAAGAAAGCGGAGGCAGCAGAGCTATGTATAGTCGAACTGGTATGTTATTAATTGCTTACATCAAACACATTGACCATTGCTAATGTCAGTGTGTGTTACAACGTAATATGTTTATATGGAACAACATCAGTTCTCTTTACTATTCCAGGAACTGGTATGGATAGTGAAATAAGCAAGTCATCGCCTGTGTCTTCTAAAGAATCCAAAAGGAGTAAGGAAAGCAAAGATAAAAAGAATGGTAAAGGAGATGAAAATGGTAAAAACGGGAAAGAAGATGCTGATGACCTTGACACTTACAAGTGTGCTAGTTCTGCCTTCTTGAAAGATATGACTGGCGCTAATGAGGAGTAAGTAAAATCAACATAATATAAGTTGTAAGAAATTTATACATGTAAATGATTAAATTTAAATTTAAAACTTTATATTACCCTACCTAACCTAGGATCGCTCTGAGTTTGCACTTAAAAACTTTGTAAATAGCAACCAATTATATTTAATACCTTGATATCTTTAGATATGAGGATATATGGAAGTTCAAAGAAGACGCAGATAATCCTCACGAGAGATACTACAAAGACATGATAGAAAGAGAGAAGATGGTCAAGATTGAACAGGAGATTAGGAACATTGTGGATGAATTAATGAGGAATGAACTGGAACTCCTGCAAGCTGCTTACGACCGAGACAGAGCACAGAAAGGGAAGAAATCTAAGAAACAACAGAAAAAGGTAAGATTAGGCTTGCAGTCAGTATAATAATTTAGCCGAATTTTATACTACTAAGCAGATTTTTCCTTCTGTAGACTCGTCGTGGAGGGAAGAAGAGTAAAAAGAAAAAAGAGAAAGATTTAACACCCGATAGAACTACAGAATCTTTGTTTGAAGAACTGGTTTCCAACGGCATTATAAGACCATATCCTCTAGTCAAGATTGACGACTATATTGGAGAAAAATGCTTTGTAGGAGCTAGCTATAGAGAGAGTGGAGTTGAGGCAACACCGTGTTTAGGCGATGTTAGGCAGCTGGTGAAGGAGTATTGTATACTACCACTGGGATCTGAATTAGTGCGGAATAATGCTCCTTTAGTGAGATCGGTTCTTATAACAGGTCTGTACTTTTATCAGTATTAGCAGAAGTTATTTCGGTGTAGTAAAAGTTGGCTAAAATAATTAATTTTGTATTCAGGGCCAGGAAAATGTGGAAAGAAGATGTTGGTCCATTCCATTTGCAACGAAGTTGGAGCCATGCTTTTTGATTTAACTCCCGCTAATATAGTGGGCAAATATCCTGGCAAGTCTGGGCTTATAATGTTAATTCACTTGGTGATGAAAGTATCCAGGCTTTTACAACCATCAGTAATTTGGATGGACGATGCTGAAAAACCGTTCGTGAAGAAAATTCCAAAAACAGACAAGACTGATCCAAAACGGTTGAAGAAGGATTTAGTGAAAATTATTAAAGGTAATTTAAAAAAATCAACAGCTAGGTGATATTTTTTTAATACCTCTATAGAAGCACTTTTTATGCGTCCCCGACCAGTTTTAAATCGTACATTTGTTTTACATAACATGTTTCACTATTTATGTTATGAATCCCATGTAATAGGGGGTGAGCCTATTGTCATATACCGGGCACAATTCCAGACTCCGAGCTACTTCTGAAAATTTTTTAAAACTCAGTAATACTTTGCCCGACTCGGGAATCGAACCCGAGACCCCTTGCCCGGCAGTCGCACTTGCGACTACTCGGCCAATGAGGCAGTCGTACATTTGTTTTAACAAAGAATATTTTTCTTTTTCTTTTTTTATGAAAGACAAGGAAAAATCAAATAGCAGGACTAATGTCTTCTTCTCGTCTGTACTCACTTTCAAGTACCTCATTAAGAATACTATCTATCTTATTTAGTATATCCATCCAGGAAAACCTCTTCCACTTTTCTTTTTTGTCTTCAGGCATTTGTCCAGAAGATCGTGTCATATTCATTGGTACTTCAAGAGCACCATGGGATGCAGAACAAAAACTACTATTCCAATGCTATCAGAAGATCATCCAAGTACCGAGAGCTGATTATGGAAGCATTTCTATGATGTGGAGAAGCAAGCTCCATAGGGCTGGAGCTTTGAATCCTAGATTGGATATATCTTGTTTGTCTAGGATTTCTGACTCCTATACATTGGGTAAAGAATTAACGTTCTTTATAAACCTTTTTGTTATTGTCTTTACTTCCTCTACCATAGTTAAGGCCTGTTTCACAGTATCTGGATAGCCGTTATCTACCAGATAAATTTGAATTAAGAACGTAATTTGTATGAACTATATGTCACATAAGTTTATCAGGTACTTATATAAAGGTGGTGAAACCAGGGCTTATTATATTATCATCGTATCTAACAAGTTTATTGAAAAATAATATAACCTTTATCTTGTATCATCAGGCACTCTTTTGGAAGCTTTGGACGCTGTACTAACAACGAAAAGGCGTTTGCAACTGCGTGTACGTGTACTAACAGCTGCTGAAATAGCAGTTCAGCTTAGCACGAGGGAACCAGTATATGCTGAACATGTAAGTGGCTTTATCCACTAACACTATTTCATCAATAATATTCTGTCTTGTGGATTTTTAACCAGTTATTCAGATTAGTCTTATAGCCGTGAGCATTAGGCTTACATCACAAATTCTACATAAATTCAGTTTCTAACTCTGAATTGCGAATTTGAGAACTGAATATTCCAATGACGCGAATACGAAACCCAGCCTAGTTTCTATTCAAGAATTCAATTATAACAGTGGCCTAAACAAATCTTATACGTACAGGGTAGTTGTATCGACATAACATAACATAACATCACGCCGTATATTCCCGAAGGGGTAGGTGTATCATTACATTGCACCAACTTTTTACTATTCATGTTATGAGTCCCATGTAATAGGGGGTGAGCCTATTGCCATATACCGGGCACAATTTCAGTAATGCTTTGCCCAACCCGGGATTCGAACCCGAAACCCCTTGCCCAGCAGTCGTACTCGCGACCACTCAGCCAACGAGGCAGTCAGTAGGTAGTTATTATCCCTATGGTTTACTTTTTTATTTATACTGATTTTCTATTTTGGTTATTTGAGCTATACTGTTATAAAGGTATATTACAGCAACAGGTAGTTGTATCGAAATAATGTAAAAAGTGATAATAATGACGATGAATTTGATTTTGAACAGGAAGCAGCAGCTGACTCCTGGTGGTACAAGACCCCGATGGAGAAGAGAAGGCAGAAGGTTTTACAGAGGCTGGAAGAAGCACAAGCTGAGGCCGAAAATGGCGGCTGAAAAATATCTTATAATTCTTTTATATTCGTTCTGGGTTTGGGAACAATTAAATATTAAGTTATACATTTAGAATCTTAAGAATATTTTAGTATAAGCAAAAATATGTCGACATAGAAAAAAAATGCATTAACGCCCGATTTTTGAAAGGATGCTAATGTTAAGTCGCGCTTAGGTATAGTTCTGTCGATACAAATTATTTGTAAAATGATGGAGATGGCACGATGTTTAAGTATAACTTAAAATTGAGTAGTCTTTCAGTATTTGGGCGCTAGTCTACAATACTTATTCAGCTAGAGTTTTTCTTCTATCGATGTTAACGTAATTACTTCATATATTGCTATCTACTATTTACAATGCTTTTTATCAATACATAGTATAAAACAAAGTCGCTTTCGCTGTATGTCCGTATGTATGCTTAGATCTTTAAAACTACGCAACGGATTTTGATGCGGTTTTTTTTAATAGATAGAGTGATTCTTAAGGAAGGTTTATATGTATAATACATGCATATTGCACCCGTGCGAAGCCGGGGCGGGTCGCTAGTTTATTATAAAAAAAACAATCTTTCTACACTCTCATTACAGAAGTGTTGTGGACATTCCTAATTCGACAGTGAGGCTAAATCTAACTAGATATTTTTTTAACTAAAAAAACATATTTAAATTACTAAAAAGAAGTTATACAACAAACGGAAAAAAAACAATTAACACAATAATAATAAAGAAAGCCTTACAAACATAAGTAAACATTTGTGCCTAGTAATAAAACTATTTTTATAATAATTTAATAAATGTAAGTGATTAATAACATTGCTTTATTTTATTTCAGACTTCTTCAATCACCCTTTTGTTTCTATAAAACCCGTTACAAATTAAATTGTAAAAACTCCAAGTTCTATTAAAAATGCAAACTAATTAAAAATATCCCTTCATTACAACCAAATACGAAACACTTAGAACAATTTTATCTCGAAACAAGATACAAAATTATAAAACAACTTAGGGAGATACTTCAAATCTCAAAAACTTGAACTCAAAAGAGCATTCCTGCGTCAAAGAGTGAAATATTCGGGAGTAAAGAATAAAAAAGGGAGGAATCCACTCTTTTAAACTCGTAATACTTTGTTAGACATCTTCAAAGTAAAAAGGGGTACCCTTTCGCTAAGAGGATGTTCGAATGACACCTGGTCGATTCACACGGGCATTTCAGAAAGAGCACAAATTAAATATGGTAACACCGATTGAAAAATCGTGTATCCGAAACGGAGTAAGTTTTAAGAATTTTTGCTTCAATACATTTTGAATTTTTGATACTTTACGGACGACCTCGAAAAGGGCTGCTTTGACAGTCGGTATCTATATAGGTCGGTTAGTAGGAAACTTTTAACAGTCAACATCAACATCCTTTAAGTGACCACTGTTAACCAAAAGCCTCTTCTCACACGGAGAAGGTTTGAGCATTAATCACCACGCTTGCTCAATGCGGGTTAGCAATTTTAAACCTATAATAATAATAAAAAGTTATAGGCTTAGGTTCAATAATTCCCTTCGGCGTTTGTCAGTGCCGTCTAAATAAATTTAACATTGCTAGCTTTTAACACAGTAATTGACTACGAAATAATAACCTTAGATGTTATTTAAAAGTTTTAATAAAAGCTTCGATATTTTAAAGACTTTAAAAGTGCCTTTGTGGCCTGATGATTCATGATTGTGCTTAAAGCACGCATTAAAAACTTATGTGAACTTTTTTGAAGTTATCGTCATATACTTTCTTACCTCAAGACATCACTAACGATAGTGTAACTTACGTTATGGTGAAAGAAAACATAATGACAAATCCTGCACCATAAGTTACTACTTATGTTTTCTCCGTTTAAGAAGAGCCTCCAACAATGGAATTGTTATAAGCCAAAGATGATCAAGAGACATCACTTCTCTGACAAATTGCAGTCTTATCATATACCCAGTTTTTAATAAATCCACGTGTCTACTATTGAAAAATTTACATACGGTCCACTAAAGCAAGACGGGGCCAAACCATATTACCAGAAAGCCTGCAGTGTTTGCCACGCATGAATATTCTATGTGCCCACCTACAGTTAACCCACGTTGTTTATCTGAACACTGGCTAGGCTAAACGGTTCGTGAATGTTTCTCCGTTATTGTAGGTGGAGTTGATACTGTTTTTACTGATTCAGTAATAGTCGACTATTTGACCTTCAACGATTAAGATTATTATGTTATTTCTTAAACTGTCAAACACCAAGCGGTCACCGGTGACCGCAACCTATTGTTCTATAATTGTGTCTACAAAACCGGTACTCAACGAGTTAAATTGCTTCGTTGGTCAAAAGTGTCACTATTGTGCAAAAAGGTTCGATTGGGATAGGGATAGTATTATTGGAGATTTTATAATATTTCTCAGATGTACCACGGTAAATTAGACTCATATGTAACGGGATGACTGGCAGAGTATGCTGTTAGCATGAAGTCTTCCTTCTACAATAGGCATGGCGACTATTTTTTAATTTTTTGTCCGTCTTCTAGATATTTTAAAAATCTTCGATACGTGATTTTTCTTTTTTCTCGTATCCAAAAAAACATGTAGATATTTTGAGTTAAAATGACGCATGACGTCACAATTAGGTACGATTTCTCCGTAAGTGTGACGTCAACACCCCCCACTCCCTAACTTTAATGCGGAATAACTACGTATTCTTCTGTTAATTTGATAAAACAAAAAATACGTGTCTGATATTTTCGTGCGATCTTAATGACGGACTAATTACTTTTTTGATATTTTTACCCTGTCGACACGCCTATTGTATAAAATTTAAATAAATAAAAATAAAATAAATTAACTAAAAATCGCGGGTTACTCACGTGAATATATTGAGAAAAGCTCTACTAGTTAAACCACAGAGGGTTTCTTACTCATCAGTTTTAGTTAATTTAGTATGTCTCACGATAGTTATTATAAAAATATACAACACGGGGTCTGCTGTTGTGCCATGTGACGGCTTATTCTATATTATATTGGGTTCATAGTAAAACTAGTTAATGATTGGTTATACATTTTATATGTACACTACTGAGTATTCCTTCCTATAAGGCATGGCGTGTGGTCAAAATATAAGGTCAAAGTTTTATATGACAACAAAGTCAAATATAAATAAATTCAATTTAAAAAAAATCTCAGTAGCAGCACGGAGTCTAGAATTGTGCCCGGTATATGGCAATAGGTACACCCCCTATTACATGGGACTCATAACATAAATAGTTAAAGTGGGTGTTACATTGTACAGTGGCATAATGTCCACATCTGCTTACCCCTTCGAGAATAAAAGGCGTGATGTTATGTATTTAATTTGTGTTCATTGCATCTCACTCAATTCAATACTTATAATCCAGGTTCTAACCTTCCGACATCAATAGAAGTATCAGTAGCTTCGTTATACCCGAATTGGCGTACCCCACAATGCACACGTTCATATCACTAGCCACATGAATTTTAGATTTGTGCATCCAGTCTGCCGCTCGTATGATTGTCCGTTAATTTGTGTCTAGAATAGTTTCCGAATTATGTGCTATTTTAATGTTTTATAAGATATTTTGGGTGTTTTTTAAATTTCTGTGTTATGCTCGAATATTGTCGCGGAGAACCTAACGGGTTACTGGAGCTCCGGCTCGACGTGCAGGAGAAGGAACGGGGTGGTTTTTAGTCAGTAAGAGTCTGACACTGCCTCCCGCCTCACCCAGGCGGGAGCAGTCATTCGATGATTTTCCCCCCTTACAAAAAATGCTCGAATATTGAAAAGCTCCTTAATTTGGTTGCTTCGTAACTCAAAGTCGCGCTTAAGTATAGTTCTGTCACTAGGCATTCCTTTTAAAATGACAGAGATGACACGATATTTAGGTTTAACTTAAAAAGAGTCCATTCCTTTTTAAAAGGCCGGCAACGCACTTATGACTCCTCTGGTGTTGCGGTTGTCCATGGGCGGCGCTGATCGCCTACAGGTGAACTGTCTGCTCGTTTGCCTCCTATTCCATAAAAAAGTAGTCTTTCAGTATTTGAGCGTTAGTGATTATTAAGTCTGAAGTTGGATAGGTAACAACTCCATGATGGGCAGACTAGAGAGACAAATTATTTAGTAATACCCAATAATAGTGATGTTATTATTTTCATAAAATATATGGCAAATGTGTTACCATCTGCGGAACTATACAAGAATCTATTAACATATAATAATGCATGATTGTCTTTTTTTTTTTTATGGCATAAGCCGGTAAACGAGCAGACGGATCACCTGATGGTAAGCAATCGGCGTCGCCCATGGACACCTGGAACACCAGAGGCGTTACAAGTGCGTCACCGGCTTTTTGGGGATTAGGAGTTTGAGGTTCGTTGGGGATTCAGGGATTGGGGAGATTGGGGAGTTGTGGAAGGTATTTGGGCCTCCGGTAACCTCACTCACACGACGAAACACAACGCAAGCGTTGCTTCACGTCGGTTTTCTGAGAGGCCGTGGTATCACTCCGGTCGAGCCGGCCCATTCGTGCCGAAGCATGGCTCTCCCACACTTCTGTCTGCCGCGCAACGTGTTGCGGTTTCGATTCCCGCACGGAACAACTCTTTACATGATCCACAGATTGTTGTTCCGGGTCTGGGTGTCATGTGTATGTCAACTTGTATGTTTGTAAACGCACCTATGACACTACAGGAGAAAATCCTGATGTAGGGCAACGTCTTTTTTAAAAGAAAAAAACATACTTTACTTTACATTACTTAGAGAAGGTGTCTCTTCATAAACGTTGACAGCTGGACACAAATCTCCTCGAAATATCCGCCGATACATCAATTAGCAAACTGCATAATGTTAACCAGTGCTGAACATTATTGTGACCTATTGTTTTCAAAATGCTCGTTGTTTTTGTCTGCCTCGTTGGCCGTGTGGTCACAGGTGCCACTGCCGGGCAAGTGGTCTCGGGTTTGATTCCCGG